AGGGAATGAATAACAAACCCCCTAAAAATGTGGATCTGGGACGTGGGAAAAGAGTGGTGAGGCCCACTTGGAAATTGAGAAATTAGGGGTATTAATATTCTAGATGTGACATGTATTAGGTATTGGATGATGTATGAATTCCCTTCTCCTCTGATTATTCTTTCCTTATTCTGAAAACTTTCTTCTATTTCCTTTTACATTGTACTTGCAGTTCAGCTTTTTCACTGAACCATTTCACCCTTATATCAAGAAAACATTTTCCCTCTTTACTGTTCCATTAATTTACTGTTAAGCATTTCACCAACTTTTATATCTTGGGTCAAGTGGAGTGGAGGGCCTTAGTTATTTGGACCTTTGGCCGGCCAGAACAGGTTACAAGAAAGTGGAAGTGCAAATTGATAACAAAAGAAATTCGCACACATACGAGTGATAATCATAAGATAGCAAAAGCTCAAGGGCTGATACGAAGAAGAAAAGCATTACTTACTCTAGATGGGGAGATTTGAGTAAAAATAATTTAGAGAAGCAAATAATTGTGTGAATGTACTAACGATTAGGAGTGAATCATAATTGTAATCTTGTCATTTAAGATGTTTGTCCACAAGAGTTACACTCAGTGTATTTAGCGGATTTGATTGGTAGTTGTTCAGCTAAAATAGTTAGAATGTAGTTTATTTTTGTTTGGGCCTCAGCCCTCTTATAGAACCAAAAAAAAAGTATTTCCTTGAATTGAAGTGGAACTTTCAAAGACATGTATTTCAAAGGAAATATGTTCTTGATTTATTTGATGATTCAGGATTAATCAACTCTAAACTTGTATCAACACCTTATGATCCATCTTTAAAGTTGCACCAAGACTAAGTAGGCCTTACCATGATATCCCTTCTTGCAGGAGGTTAGTTGGCATATTGTTATACTTGAATGCAACAAGACCTAGTATAACATTATGAACACAATAACTCAGTTAATTCTTGCCATCTCCTCCCATGGCAAACACCAATGCAACTACTAGAGTTTTGATGTTCCTCAAATCATATCCAGGTTGAAGCATTATGTTTTCAAGAGATTCAACCATCCAATTAAATAGGTATTCTGATGTTGATTGGGAAGGATACTTAGACACAAGAAGCTCAATTTCAAGACAATGTTTCTTCCTAAACAAATCACTAATTTCATGGAAGACAGAAAAAAAAACTCACAATTAGATGATTTCACACTTCACTAATATTCAATGAAACATTTGAATATAATGAAACTTTTAAATACTCAATTAAACGATATAATACCAACTAATTAAAAAAAATCTAAAATATCATGGTAAATTAATAATTTTGGACAACAGTTCTAATTCTCTCTTTTGTGAATTGTACTAGTGATCATATAAAGTATTTTTTAACTACACCCGCATATTATATCTGTTTTTTTCTTTGTTGTTATTTATCTTTTTGGAATGAAAAATATTATATTAAGTTTAACTTATTCATTTTCTTAAATTATTATTGGTATTGGGTTCATTCTGTTGATATTTGTAAATATATATATAAAGTGTTAAGAATATTTGTATATAGAATAGTCTCACGTCGACTATATTATGTAATTAGGTGTAATCTATTTATATATAATAATGTCTCCGTAGTGCTTTTCAAAACACACGGTTTATTCATGTCTCTTAGTCTCTTGTATTTCAACATGGTATCAGAGCCTCGTTTAAAATTCGATGGGCCACCTTCTATGGTTTCCGCCACCCACCATTTATTTCCACGCTTCAGTTGTCCAGTCCTGAGCGTGAGGGGGTGTGTTAAGAGTCCCATATCGGACAATATATGGCATGAACATGTGTTTATAATGTTACCTTCTTCGAGTCTGTTCCATATTTCGAATCCAGCCAAGTAACTACAGAACCTCTACAGGAAAGTATTCCCACACCTCTTCCGGAAGTCCCATCTGTCATTATCCCCCATCATTCTAGGGAACCTGACCCACTAGTTACCCCTACGGTTGACCCCCCCCACTCGCCCACTTCAAACATATCAGCGTCGTCACCCAAAGTCTGTCGTACCTGTCCCTGAAGTTGTACCTGTCCCTGTAGTCGTACTTGTCCCTGAAGTTGTACCTGTCCCTGAGGTCACTACGGACTCTCCTCCGACGCTTTCGCCATCACCGGATTCGATCCTGCAACCTGAGTCTGATCTTCCGATTGCCCTTCGAAAAGGTATACGTCAAACACGAAATCCTTCTCCACATTATATTGATTTATGTTATCATCGTCTTTCCCCTTTGCAGTATACTTGTTTGTCTTCTTTGTCTTCTGTTTCTATTCCTAAAACTCCAGGTGAAGCATTATCTCACCCTGAGTGGAGGCAAGCAATGATTGATGAAATGTGTGCTCTTCAAAGCAGTGGTACCTGGGAACTGGTTCATCTACCCCATGGAAAATCTTTAGTAGGTTGTCGTTGGCTTTATACAGTGAAGGTTGGTCCAGATGGCAAGATTGATCGATTTAAAGCTCGCTTAGTAGCCAAAGGATACACTCAAATTTTTGGGTTGGATTATGGTGATACCTTTTCACCTGTAGCCAAGATGGCATCTGTTAGACTTCTTCTAGCCATTGCAGCCATTCGACATTGGTCTCTTCATCAACTTGACATCAAAAATACATTCTTACATGGCGATCTTGAAGAGGAAGTATATATGGAGCAACCACCTGGGTTTGTTGCTCAGGGGGAGTCATCGAATATGGTTTGTAGGCTACACAGGTCTCTTTATGGTCTTAAGCAATCTCCGAGAGCTTAGTTTGGCAGATTCAGCACTGTAGTACAACAGTTTGGTATGATCCGTAGTGAAGCTGACCATTCTGTTTTTTATCGTCACTCACCCCAAGGGTGTATTTATCTTATTGTGTATGTAGATGACATTGTCATAACTGGTAGTGATCAGCAGGGAATACTCCAGTTGAAACAACATCTCTCGAAACAATTTCAGACAAAAGATCTTGGTAAACTCCGTTATTTCTTGGGTATTGAAGTAGCCCAATCTAAAGATGGTTTGGTGATTTCTCAGCGGAAATATGCTATGGATATTTTGGAAGAAACAGGTTTGTTAAATGCTAAACCAGTCGATACTCCTATGGATCCAAGTGTTAAATTACTATCCAATCAGGGGGAGCCTCTATCTGACTCAAGAAGGTATAGGAGATTGGTTGGAAAGTTGAATTATCTCACAGTCACTCGTCCGGACATTTCTTTTGCAGTCAGTGTGGTAAGCCAGTTTTTAAATTCCCCTTGTCAGGAACATATGGATGCTGTTATCCGGATTTTGAGATACATCAAATGTGCTCCAGGAAAAGGTCTTGTGTATGAGGATAAAAGACATACCCAGATAATTGGATACTCTGATGCTGATTGGACAGGGTCACCCATTGATAGACGATCCACCTCTGAGTATTGTGTACTTGTTGGAGGAAACTTTATATCCTGGAAAAGTAAGAAACAAAATGTAGTTGCAAGATCAAGCGCCGAGGCAGAGTATAGGGCGATGGCAATGGCAACATGTGAACTTATTTAGTTAAAACAGTTGCTCAAGGAACTTCAAATTGAAGAAGCAAGACCAATGACACTTATTTGTGATAATCAAGCTGCATTGCACATTGCTTCAAATCCAGTCTTTCATGAGAGGACCAAACATATTGAGATAGACTGTCACTTTGTCAGAGAGAAGATCGAGTCAGGCGACATCTTCACAAGCTTTGTCAACTCTAATGATCAATTGGCAGATGTGTTTACAAAATCCCTACGAAGCCCCAGAACTAACTATATATGTAACAAGCTTGGTGCATTTGACTTATATGCTCAAGCTTGAGGGGGAGTGTTGATATTTGTAAATATATATATAAAGTGTTAAGAATATTTGTATATAGAATAGTCACACATCGACTATATTATGTAATTAGGTGTAATCTATTTATATATAATAATGTCTCCGTAGTGCTTTTCAAAACACACGGTTTATTCATGTCTCTTAGTCTCTTGTATTTCAACACATTCGTTGTTCGTATTTGTATTTGCGATTCGTAAATAAAAATATTTCAAAATTTAAATATAAATAAACAACATGCTACAAAATGATTGGATAATAAATAGTATGTGTCTAACAAATCAAACGAGTCTTCACATAATTTTAAAATATAAAACTATTTTATTTGTATGTGTTTTTAATTTTGCAGTTTAATTATAATAATATCCACCAAGCAAAAATCAATTATTATGAACAAGCACAAGTCTGAACAAAGATTCTCTCTCTCACATGTTATCTCCATTTTCAATTAATGCACACCTTGCATGCCTTTGAATCTACACAATAATTTGGCTATTTCTTACATATATTTAATAATAAAACTATATGATTAATCACATTGTTATTGTAGCAGCATGAAAAGCCACATTTTTTTGTTTGGTTTTGTTCAAACTTCAAACCCTCTTTCTTTTGCATGGATATTCAGATTCTTCACTGAAGAAGGTAAAGTTAGGAGGGAACAGTTTCAAACGTTGTTAACTAGTTAATGTTTAAACTTCAAATTCAAATTTAACACATGAAAAAGTAACAACATTAGAATAAAGATGTTTGGGACCGTTGCTGCTTTTTTTTTACAACTGTTTGTTTTTGATGTTTTGAATTTCAGTTGGTTTCAATTTCAACATCAGAAAGTTGTCGTATTTTTGCTTTTTCGTTTCACAGTTCACAACCCTTTACTGCGTTTTTCATAGTTTTAGAAGAAGCAACATTGTTTTAAGAGCTTTTGCTTTTTTGTTTTGTACAAGCTAGAACATTCAAATTTTCTGCTTTTTCTTTTTAATCTCCTTTTTTGTGCCTTTTGTTTTCTATATCTATGGTTTGATTTCAATTAGAATTGTAGAGTTTAAGCTGAGAAAACTCAACCCTTCATGTTTGTTTATATATGTGTAGGTGTTGAGAAGATTCATTGATCGCGTAGTCTAACTAAGATGGAGAAATCATTCAACTTTGGTGAAAATTCTGATGCGCGGTTGAGTGGTGATTCTTTCGGATACTGCCGCATTTGGACAAGTTCGGATGCATCAAATTCGAATTTCTCTGACTGTATAGATGATAGCAGCTATGCCAGTGAACCTTCTCCTTTTCCTTCGCCTTCGCCTTCTCGGTGGAGGGATGTTAAACCTGGTCTCTCTAGGCTAGGGATGAAGTTGCGCAAGAATTCAGTCGATAACAAACTTGATGGCAATGATCTTTTGGATTCAGGTTTGCTTGCGTAGTTACTTATGAAGTTTTGAGCATGTGATTCCGCGTCGTGATTCTGAGTAGAAAATAATGAACTTAGTTTTGTTTACATTAATCAGCTGAGGTTGAAATGATGAAGGAAAGATTCGCGAAGCTTCTGCTAGGAGAAGACATGTCTGGTGGAGGAAAAGGTGTTAGCACAGCAGTTACAATCTCCAATGCCATTACAAATCTCTATGGTAATTCCTTGATGCTTATAACATTATCCATATCATAATGCGATAAACAATCGAAATGCTATTAGTTTGTCGAATAATTTGCAATTGAACTTGTTTGAATTTGAATTTGAATTTCTACAGCAACGGTATTCGGACAAAGTTTAAAGTTGGAGCCGCTGAATCCTGAGAAGAAAGCCATGTGGAAAAGAGAAATGAAGGTTCTTTTATCAGTGTGTGATTACATACAAGAATTCGCCCCAACTGCGCAATATTTAGAAGATGGCACAATTGTGGAGGTGAGATTCGTTTGCCGACTAGTATATCAGTTGTTATTATGTTCGTCCGGTTTGAACCCTGATCTTTTATGTCGAACAATTTTTTCAATGCTTAGCTCGAGCCAGTCGAGCTAAATAATAACTAACTCTAACGAAACTTGTTTTGTTCGTTATATTTGATATCACGTTCTCTATCAGATGATGAAAAGCAGACCAAGGTCGGATATCTATATAAACCTCCCGGCACTGCAGAAGCTTGACACAATGCTTATAGTAAGAAACACCGCAGCTCTTGTATATAAGAACTCGGTTTTTCATCAAGTTCGTGTGGCTGATAAGCACGAAAACTTTGTTTGCAGGAAATATTGGAATCTTTTGAGGATACTGAATTCTGGTATGCGGAGAATATATCAGCAACTTCACCTCGTTTGCGCGCAGCCTCGTTTCGAAAGATTGTTCCAAGGAAAGACGAGAAATGGTGGTTGCCAGTTCCTTGTGTTCTCCCCGGCGGCCTCTCTGAGAAGTCGAGGAAGCATCTTACAGAGAAAAGGGACTGTGCTAATCAAATTCACAAAGCTGCAATGGCGATAAATAGCAATATTCTCGCAGAAATAGATATTCCAGAAACATATATAGACGATCTTCCAAAGGTTAGTTAGTCCTCACTGTTGAAACTTGAAGATCTCTCTTGTTTCTGAAAGTTTTAGTCTGAAAATTTCTGTTGAAATCTCAGAATAAGTCTGCATTTCTTTTTTCCAGCTGAAATTCTATTGCCAAGTGATTGATGATTCCTTTAAATGTGACCCTATAAGGCAAATGTCTTGGAACTTATCATCAAATTTGATAAGCTTTTTATGGAAGCCAATAATAGCAGCAGAGTCTTGTAGAAATCGGGACGATATAACTTCGTATAAGGTACTAGTAGCATGCAACTTCGATGAAACGCATTAATCTTATTGTTTATTCCCTTGAAGTTAGTTATAAAAATTTGAGACTGATAATAAAGTTTAATGCATGAGAAGAACTGTTTTCATGCTACTAGTACATATTTTTATAAAAATGTGAAATTTAATCTTACTTATTTTTCTCTTTTTTCAAACATTAATTTCTTCAGAGTGGAAGAGGGAGTCTAGGGGACACAATATACAACTATATGTATACCGCAGACATGTTCTCGCCTGATCGTCTTCTTGACGGTCTGAAAATAAGCTCTGAACATGAAGCACTTGATCTGGCAGACAGGGTTGAATCGTCAATGTATACATGGAGACGTAAAGCTTGTCTTAGCCATTCAAAGTCGTCATGGAAAGAAGTAAAAGATCTCATGGATGAAACAGATTTGGAAGATAAAAACTTTAGTTTAGCTGATAGAGCTGAAGCTTTGTTGTTTTGCCTCAAGCAAAGATATCCTGAACTTTCACAAACTTCTTTGGATACATGCAAGATCCAATACAATCGGGTAAGTTTCGGTTTCAAATATATGATCTCATATCTTATGTCAAACATTGAAAAATAGCACAAGACTAAGATATATTTGCTCTGATAGATGTTCAATCCTCATTGTAAGAGAAACATGAACTGAGAAAACAATTATATGATGCAGGATGTGGGAAAAGCGATACTAGAAAGCTATTCAAGAGTTTTAGAAGGCCTCGCATTCAACATTGTTGCATGGATTGAAGATGTTCTTTACGTAGATAAGACTATGACGAATCGAGAAGTCTAGAAACCACAACTGTGTTTTACAACTCTTTCACAACAATGCTTCTCATGTAGACAGGATCTAGTGTGTGTAGAGATAGTGATATTCACTTGCATGTGTCAAGCTTACTTGTCAACAATATATAGAAAAAAGTTTCAACATTTAGTTGAAATTCAAAGCATAACTTCAAAGAGTTATATTTTCTGAACTTCAAATTTATTTTATTTTGGGTGTTAAAACTTAAAACTAAAACTTTCAAAGCACAACTTCATCAGATTACTTCAAAAACTTAACTAATGATTTGACATGTTACAATAAATTTTATTCTAGATCCACTTTGATGAACCAAAGTTACTTCCAAATCACACACCATCACACCAATGTAGCTTGTGACGTGCCAGTGTGTATTTATGCTAACTCATTGGTCATCACAACAATAAAAAGGGCTATAAAATTGAATGATTATACAATACAGCTTATGATGTGCCAGTGTGTACTTAAGCTGCGATTATTCTTTATGAAGTTCTCTATGGACTTGCAAGTAAATGATTGAATGTTGCTTTTCATGCAGATTCTCCATATGAAAGCATGTATAATTTTGATAAATGTGAATATACAAAAAGGAAAAAATTGGTTAGGTGCCTTCATGTGTGCATGTGACCTCCTAAATACAGCTCACACATTAAGACATGAATGAGAAAGAAACAGCTATGAATCACTTGAGATATTTTACTCAAAATAAAATTGAAAATTGAAACAAGTCATCCTATATATACAACAGACCCTTGAACTGTGCAAGGAAATGCACAAGTCCATATTGAGAGGGAGTGTATCAACAGGTTAGTTAACAAGGCCAGGACCAGCATAGGTTGGAATAGTGACAACATCGCCTTCACTTTCCTTCGCCAAAGAACCCATTCCTTTCACCTGTTACTCAAAATGATGTCCCCTCAACTTTCTTACAAGTTCAACACAAGGGCGGGCACAAAATGACATCTTTTACGCCTGCTTTGGCCAATCATGCATCAAAAATAGATTATGAAACAATAAAAACACCTGCTGAGGGGTTTGCTTTGAATACTCCAAAACCAATCAAAAATCTTGTTAATCAACTATCCTCGTCCACAGCACCAACATAAGTAAGGTCAGTCCTTCTCACCCTTACAGCCCCTTTAAGCCAGCTGGCGGCACGAAGATTAACACAGTCGCCACCTCCAACATTACTTGCAGAAGGGCAAGATCCAGCACCATCCTCTAAAAGCGTCCAAGGGTCAAATTCGAAATCATTGTCCTGTTGTTTTGATTTCCCTGATGCTGTAGTTCTTGATAGTGGAAGTGGGCTCCTCTGAGGTGTAGCCAAACTGCTAGAGTTAAACCCAGAATTTTTAATGCTGGGTTGAAGAGATATAATGGAAGAATTCGGAACAGATGGTGGCTGGCAAGAGAAAGAGCACCGCGGAGTGGGAGGGAGCATGGGCATTGCCGCTTGGATACGCCACCGGATAGAGTCTGGCAGTTGCATGGAGTCTAAGTGATTCTGCATTAGACAATAGACGATCAGAAAGAAGGAAATGAAAAACAAAAAACAAGTAGCCCGTATGCTCCCATCTAGAAGTTATATGAACAAGAAAAATTCATATTGAACAAGAAAAATTCATATTAAACAAGGATAAAATGTTTGATGAAAGATCAAACTTGGTAGCTATATGAATCAATCACAGAAACTAGAAGGTAGGCATTTATAGGCGAGAAAACCAAACCTGCAAAGTCTCCAACAACTCTCGATCAAATCCAGAAACCTTTCGTGTCGGTTCATTAGTTGCCTTTGAAACAGGTTTCAACCTAAGCCAACTTGGGGGATTACTACTCAACAAACCATGCAAAATCAACAACAATCGATCAAAAAGGCCCTCAACAGAAGAATCTACAAAAGCAGCACAAGCAACTTCTGAAGGTGACTCCACATCCCCTTTTGACTGAGTAAAGTGTGTGGCATTAACCAAAACGTTTGCATCCTCAAACACGATTTGACTACCAAGTAGTCGAAGAATTACAGAGGCAAGTGTGTGTCTCATGTTCCGCACAGAGGGCTCCCTGCAAAATTGCATCTAGTTAAACTGTATCTACAGCCTAAATTGGATAAGGTAATGTGGCCAGAAGTTAGTCAATTTACAGCACCAAAATTTATTCATGAAATAATTCTGAAATAAATAACAAAGTAATGAGTTATCATCATCAACACATGCTCCAAGAAAAAGCACATACTATTTATCCAGATGAAATAGATAACTTTAATGCAGCAACATTCCAGGAAGAAGAAAATATTAAGAGAAAGCCTAGCAAAGCCATTTGAAGAATAGAAAAATTGTTGTAATTACCCGTCTGTGTAAAGAATAGGAAGGAATCTCATGATTAACTGGATACGTAGTGACATTGAAGCTCGTAGAGCTGCAGGAGAAGGTGGAGAAGAATCTGCTGAAGATGTTAGTCGTCTGGCTAATCCAGGGCTACCACCTTTTATAGTTTTGCGGGCATTTTTTCCCGGACTTTCGGTCACAGGCATACTTGCTGCTGGCTTGCCTGGACCGCGAGTAACCACAGCTATTTGTTGCTCAATATAACTTAATTGTTTGATCAAATCACTTGCGAACGAATAACGAGATTCATCGGAGCTTTGATCTATGCATGGAAGAATTAATTCAAGAAAAGCCCTCTCAGTCCCATGTAGCTGCTTAATGGCTGAGCCTTCCAAGTCAAACACTTGACAGAACCCTTTTAGGGACCTTTTCACATCCACTCCTTCAACTTCTCCTTCTTCAAGAGACAGAGAATCAACTTTCCTTTTATCCCTCTTCGTAGTTATTAGATCAGTACATGGGCTAAACGAACCCCAGGGCTTTGAAAACTGAGGCTTAATGGATAATCCTTTGGTCTCTGCAATGTTAATTAGTCGTTGCCTAATGGTCTTTCGACCAAAGAGGACATCTTGACCTCCAAGGAACCATTTAGCCTGCAACAACATAGAATCCTCCAGCGACTTCCCAAAAAGATGAATCAACTCCGAGAAAAGAGGTGCAGCATCAGGTCTAACAAGTAACCTTGTGAGAATTATTTGAATGAAATTGTTCTCATTCTCAGAAGCAGCAGTCTTCTCAGAACTCGGTGAAGACAACTGTATAGCATTAGCCAATGACATATCGTGTATCTGCAGTTTTTCAATGAGAGCCAGTTCGTTCAAAAGCAGCCTGAGTTCAACCCATTGCCAGTGGAATTTGGCGGGTTGCAAAGCCTCTAAAACATCTACAAGCTTTTCCTGAAGCTTAGACTCACTGTCAGTAAAATGAATTTTAGATTCACCATGCCCAGAAATCCGGCTTCCACCATCCTTTGTATAAATAGACTCCGGCATCTTACAATCAACCATGGCATCTAAAAAAACCCTAGCACGAAGTGGAACAAATGCAGTGGAATTTAAACGCATATCAGAGCCATTCAACTCTAGCAAGGTTGCAAATTCCAAATCACTTGTATCTGCAGCCATTAGATCATAAAGACCCTGAGAATCTCTTAAACATACATCTCGAAAAGGCAAATGTTTTAATGCATCATTTATGGCCATTGTTAGAGTCTGGCAAAGTTGATTTGTCTCTTCACGTATGGCAACATTAGCATTCATAATGAAAGGTCGCCACATAACAAAGGCAAATATTGAATAGGCAGGCGGAAAAACCAAACTTAGAGGAAGCATGCGCTGCATTCTGGAAAGAGCTACAATGGATGGTTCGGTCAAGAGATCCACAACTAAGCCTTCACAGATGGTTCTGCAGTTTCCAACAAGCAATCTAAACCAATGGAGATGTACTTCAACTGAACTGTCCACCTTAATAGCCCCGACTGAACGTGCATTTCCATTTGAATTGGATCTCGAGCTTCGTACGTATTGAACTACATCCAGGCCCTCCTTTAACCTGAGAATGGTTACCATTCTCTCCAGGCTGGTAACACCGTATATAATTACACCAACAATAAGTGCAGAAACAGAAGCAGCAATTTTTGTTGTTCTGGCGAGCACGATTTTACTGGAGCTATTTACATCATTTGGCGTAGTTGCACTAGTATCATAGGTTTCAGGTGACATTTGAAACTGGTTTCTAGATGCTTTACTTGGAGCAAAAACTCCAGCAAGAGCATTAGAAGCTTCTGCTGCAAGAGCAATATCAAATACACGGCTCTGACGTTCTCCCAAGGCTTCCTTAAGCAAACACAAACATGTTATATGCATTCGCAGAATGCATTTAGCATAGTTCAATGAACTTGTTGCCAGTGATATATTTGGATGATTATTGCCAGCGGAAAAATCAGGCAATTTTGCTAAAGATGGACCAACACTGCCAACAATGGCAGAAACAGCAGAAGTGACCAAAGAGGGATCTCCTTCTTGAGCAGCACCACCAGTCTGCCTAATGCAATCCATCAGGCTTATAACTATTTGTTGAGCAATTTGATATCCATTATCCCATTTTTCTAACGAAGGACCTTTTGGTGTTCCAGCAGCAAAAAGCTTTCTGTCTTTTCCAAAAAGACAGTGAAATGCATCTTCCACATTACGCTGTACAACATCTCTCATGCCTGAACCTACCCTGGACAGTAACCGACCACCACTTATCTTTTGACGGAAATAATCATCAGGGTCCTCAACTCCTGCAGGAACACCAAGAGGAAGCCCAAACTCTCCATCAACTAATCGTCCTCCAGACTCGAGTGCAGAAGCAAGTCTCTTATCAAATGTGGTTTTGAAATTTTTCTCCCACTCAATGACACTGACCACGTGGCTATATTTTTTCAACAAATATCGAGCAAAAGCAAGGGCACCTGAACCTGAAACCCGGCCATTAGATGTTATAATAGCTGCAGCCCGATGCATTACAGATGACAGAGCTTCAGGAATAAGATCTGCTGTAGCAAGAATATTCTCATACCTGCATCAAATTACAATGTTAGACAAAGACAAGTTAAACAAATTC